TGCAGAGCCTCTTCGTTCCTCTCTCGACATTTTTTTTTCTCCCTTCAGCAATTTTCAAATACTGCAATAGCATCGATGTATGAAAAAAAAAGTTCTTATTTCTCCTGTATTTGTTTCGCATTTCATGCTGCAGGTTGTTATTGCTGAGTTGAGAGATATCAATAACAAACAAGCACGTAGAGAAGTTAGACGTTAAGCAATTCCCGTATGTGCAATTCATTTTAAATCAAACTTTAATCTCTTTTGATATCAATTTTCTGTATGTTTTTCTAGTTCCTTTTTTTTGTGTGAGTTTGAATAATGAAAATTTCACTTCAGTTGCATCGAGAGTCAGTGTTGTAATCTTGTTGATGTCCTTGTGAATCTGACAAAGTATGAGACTGTGACTATAAACAGTACTTTTGGTCGAATTAATGATGACTGGAGTCACTTGGTTTACTACAACGGGTACCTGCTTTAACATGGCTTCGATAACAAGCTTTCCTGGATAGCATAAGTCGGTTAATCGAATAGGAATCCGGAATCAAGCTGATTCGAACTCAAATCAAATTCAGCACCATGCCATGGTTACACTATTCATAGTCACGTGGTGACATATTTCTATTCAATTACCGGACTTGTGCTACTCGGGTACATTTCTGGTCGTGCTTTTTCATTAAAATTTAATTCTCCAATAAATTTGATCTATACCAGGTTATTCACCATGAGAAATGTATCCCTTGATTAAAACCTGGATTTGACCAAGTAATCAGCAATTACAGGGATTATTGTTGTAAAGCCAAATTGGTGTCAAAGTCTGAGCCAGGACAAGATAATTGATCGACAATTAATTCATAACTTTTTAATCAAAGCTAGCATTGACTTTGCTAAGTGACTAGAGTCATATAAAATTCATTATACAATAGTACGAAAAATACTTTAAAGTATAAGTATGAGTAAGATTTAGGAACTGTGCTATTAACCACATGATAACCAACTCTGCAGGTAAAACTCTAAAGAAGAAGTTTTATTGAATGCATCAAAAAAAGTTTATGAAGGAATCAAAAGAAACACGAGGAAATAAACACGATAATTTTTTAAAGATAAGTGTGATAATAGTTTGACTAAAACTTCTCGATTCGGCTTTATTTCTGATACTTTTGAAAATTTATTTAAAATTTCCAATTAAAAATTTATCATTCAAATGCGTCAAACTTGCAGTTCTCTCGACAATTTTGGCAAAAATGTGCAAAAATGTTTAAAATAAAAGCAAGTTAAATTGTGAAACTTTCTTTCCAATTTTCATTTAAAATTCATTTTTATGTTCCAATTTTTGAAAGAAAACTTTTTGACTTTTTGTGTGCATGTAATTGCAAATAGATAGCATCGGTTTTTAGAAAATGAATAGGAGAAAGTTTTTTTAAACATAAAATTCTATTCTATGCATGAGTTTGAACATCAACATAATTTATCGTTATGTACAAAAAAACTTAGTTTTTTGAACGCTTCAATCCATTCAATGACCTAAATTCATTTTCAATTCAAATATAAAGTTTTGAGGCTATAAATTTTGCAAAGAATATTTTATTGTTTTTTTTGCGCTTCCATATTTTGAGATCTGTGGATCTTTTTGCTGTTTAAATTTTGCAATCGATTTGTTCGAGTTCAAATTTGCGGATTAGATAGTGGGTCAGAATTTATAACTGCACTTTATTTTATTGGTAATGTTGTGGATTATTTTTTTAAGGGTAATTTTGATGTTCAATTGCTTGTTCAAGTATTAAAGCTCTATTTGGATGGTAAATAGCCAAAAGATTTCAGTGAACTGAAGTGACTCGGTGTCGAAATGTTTTAATACATTAGTACTTAATTATTATAGTAAGTACCGACACAGCGATCATGGGTTCGAATCTGGGTATTGAAAATTTTTCACTTGTCCTTTTTCAAATCATATGAACTAGAGATGAAGTTCCATGGTCTCCATTGGTGCCTCAAATGAGAAATGTCATCAAAAGAGTGGTTCGGATCCTAATAAAAGCTGTAGTTGTCATGCTTTGAGCGATTAGCGTGATAACAAACCTTCACATTTAGGCCTGTGTTAAGGAATATCGTAACATTAAAATTAACGCTTATAAACTTAAAAGAGAAGCACAAGGAACTACCAATCTATCTTATCTGGGGTCATTAGCTTTGTACCTAATCAGATGGACTTGATAAATCAAATTTCGAACCTTTTTAATCAGAATTGATTGAATTTGTTTGTCATGAAGAATTGCACATCCTTATTTGGGGCTATTTGAATGTGTGCTTAGTACCCTAATTTCTGCTTACATCAAAATCATTTTTTGCGAAGTTCCTCACCAAACTATGTAATATAATAACCAAATTCTTCATCTTCTTCTCAGAAAAATACAAAAATTGTTAAATAAATATGAACAGCTAAAATACTGCCAATTGCTAGTCAAACATAACTCTAGAAAAATTGATTTAGCACAGATTGAATAAAATATATATTTTTGACTTCTGTTTATTTATTCTCTCCATTCTTGAATAAATACCAACATATTTCATGTCCACAATCTTTTTTATATGAAAAATAAATAAACACGAGTGCAAAAATTTGTGGCTATGATACTTCTGAATTTGACTAAATGACGGTCTACTGGATTTAAAATTGGTGCAAATATTTTTAGATTGGAACTCTTTTATTTTTATCTTTTCTGTTCAATCTCCAGCATGGAGGTAGAAATTCTTGTTTGTTTTAAAATTTCTTTTCAATTTTTTCTCCAAATGCCTCGAGGCAAATCCAATCTTTACACCTGAAAAACTTCAATCGAAATAATATTAAATTTTATTCTCAGAATATTTTAGACTCTTTCTGGCTAGATTGTTTGCGATACAAACAACAACAAAATATTTAAATTCGATCTAATAAGTTTTTGAATTTTTATTCTTGTTTAGGATTTTTAAGAGACTAGATGTACAATTTACATATGGAAATGAAAAGAAAATTGCTTTCGTTTCTGAGAAAAACTTGCGTAAGCATCAGAAAATTTGAATATAACAATTTTTTTGCTACATTTTCAATTGAATTTGTTAGCAAATATTACCAAGCTACTTGTTTTGGAAGAGATGATGTCAGAAATGATGAATTTCACCTACTCGAATAAGCGAAATGTAGTCAAAACAGACTTGACGTTGTATAATTTCTTTAGAGAATTCTAAAGTAGATCTAGGAAAGTTATAAAAGCTATTATGAAGTGGCTAGATAACGCATTTTAGAGCTCAAAGTTTATTAAACATTATTAAATAGGATTTATGGAACTGAGTACTACCTGTTATTATTATTTTGAGGCGTTAGAAAAGAAGGAATTACTCAAAGGAACGTTCAAACTCATTGACAATGTGACAGATAATCTGTTGACAAGCTGACAGTACAGATAAATGAACAGGCTGACTCACAATCATCTACAATTTAATAGATAGTCTGCACAGACAGACATACAGCAATACAGATATACTTGAGATGGACATAGACCCAAAGAAACAAAAATTATGATTTTTTTTCATAGCGTCCTCAAATGAACTAATGATCTATATGAAGATTGAAATAATCAATCTCATTTTGTGCAAGAGACTTGCGATTTTGTATGAATGAACAGACAATAGAACTGAAAGATAAAAAAACAAGCTAAAAGGCAGCAAGACAATTCTTGAACTTTAGTAGCTAAACTCTATAGAAAAATGCCTTTAAAATATTCCGAACACAAGAAAATTTTCGCGAAATAAATTGAAATCATGCAAAACAATTTCTTACCCCCATCCTCTTGAACTTCCTTCCCTGCAATTTAGTAAAAGATGCTTTTATTATGTCTGTCGTTATTCGCAATTTTCTTCCCTAGCAACAGCTCGTTTCTCACACTATCGCTAGTAATTGAAAATCGATTTGTAATTACAATCGCAATCGAATGGGAGCAACGAGTCTATTTTATAGATTTTTTTCTCTTCCTTCTACTTCCGCCACAAAAGTGCCAATTGAGTTGGCAATTGACATAATATGATATTTAATAACATTTTCTACAGAAAGAGATTTTCTTGTTTGCTAGTTTTTTTATGAAGTTGAAAATGAGCGAAATGAAAGAAAAAGTTTTTTTTTTTCATTTTTTCCGACTGCAAAACAACGAAATGAATGGAAAATAAAAACTTTTTTGAATCAAACAGTCAACATTCATTATTTTAACGGACAATAAATTTACCATCATACGGCAATTTCTGGCATTTTCCTGTTAATGTCTCTGTACAGTCACTTTTTTGTTGCTGATATCTCTGTGCATTGAATTTTTTTTTTCGCAATTGAAGTGTGAGAGTTAAACGGGGTGCAATTGGAGAGGGGAATTGTTTTTAAATTACGGGTGTTGTTAAAGGTTTTTTTCGGAAAATTTGTATGGATGCAGAGTTGGGGCTATTTACTGGTTGTGGCAATATTCCAAAAGCAATAGAGTATGTCTCAGAAATTTCCATTTCAAAACCAAGAAACTTTGTATTTTTGTTGACACCTTCAATAGACACATGATTGCCAACCCTGGTTGTTAGCATGAACAATCACTTCCTGTTCTATAAAAGGGTTGATATTTTTAGTGTTGCTTCAATTTTTTTGTCATAACAGATGTTTAAAGTTAAAATAAATTCATGTACAATATCAAATCAATGCTCTCCTTTTGTTATGTAACACGACTTTATTTAAATACAATGCCAAATTTCTCCAACAAATCAAATTCACATCCAGCAATTTCATGATGCTGCCAACTGTATGAGTGCAATATATTTTTGACATCACCTTTATTTGCCTACACAAAAAAAAATTTTTTTTTTTACAATCCTCACATGAGCAATTCATAGTTGAAATGAAAAATTCGATTTTTAAGCCATACACGCTGGCAGCTACAAAGCATAGAACAAAATTGATGTGTTTTAAACTCCAATTTGTTTCCTTAATTCTCTTTTTCTGTATTTTTTTATAGGCGAACTTTTTCTATTTTGGAACATATATCAATTGCCGGTATTGCTGGCACTCGTTGCCGGTCAATCTGCTCACATTATGGAGAATGTATCCGATGACGTTATTGTCGGTCGTTGCATTGCTGTATTAAAAGGTATTTTCGGTGATAAAAATGTCCCGCAGCCAAAAGAAGCTGTCGTCACACGTTGGAGAGCCGATCCATGGGCACGTGGTTCATACAGCTTCGTATCCGTTGGCTCATCTGGTACTGATTACGATTTGCTTGCATCACCTGTTAAGCCGCATTGTAATAAGGAGCCACGAGTTGAACAAAAGAATGACGATGAGAATGAGAATGAAGAAGACGATGGAATTATGCCGAGATTATTTTTTGCTGGTAAGTTCTTTCTCTCTTAATTGAGTTATTATTATTTCTATGGTCATATCTATAAATTTATCGAAATCTTCGTGAATCTTTATTTATTTTATCAATCACTGCGATGCTGCTCATTTTACATTGCCCAAAAAAAAAACACGTTTAACCTCTTCTTAACTTTCCTCTTTCTTCCTTACCTTATTCACAATCTATTCGCCTTCAACAGCGAATCCATGAAATAAGCTTATCACGATATTTCAATCAGCAACAAAGCAGCAGCAGCATATAGCCAAAGTTACAGTCAATAACACGTAATGAGATGGTCAGTGAGAATTTAAGAGAAAAAAATCGAATAATTTTTTGCGCATTTTCCTCAACTTTGGATTAACATGTCTTGATGCGGTGGCTTCTGCATTATGTCTGTTGATGGTGCATTAGTTATGCATGCTTTTTTCATGCAGGCTTTGGGTTGGGAATTGATGAATTTTTATGAATTTTGAGAATATGTGGTCATTTAAGGAATTTATGCTTAGACTTCCTTGATAGATGTCTACTTTGTGAAATTCTTGATGTTTTGGATATGAATAGACCAGGGGAATGATATTCCTATTTACATATCCTTTAGACCAGTGGTTCTTAACCATTTTGGACCTTGAAACAATAAACATTTCATTTTGAATAAATTTGGTGTATCCACATTCATTTTGAGACACTTTTGTAGTATTCAGCGACATAGAAGCTTGTCGCACAGCAAAGTTTGTGAAGCACTGCTCTTAATTATACCAAGCTACCAGCCTCAGCTTTAGAATTTCACCATTAGGGTCATAAATGTCTAAAATAGGTGATATAGAGTCCAACTTGAAAAATGCAACACAGTTTACAGAGATCTCATCTCCAAATGACAAAGAATCTCTTTTCAAATGACAAATAGCGCCTGAAACACCGTCCACATCTCCAAATCCAGCATAAATCTCTAACTTGTTAAATTTGGATGTTACTAAAAAGAAATTAACGTGGCACAATAAAATAAAGTAATTTCTTTATACACGAAAACGAGAAATGCAAAAAAAGAGACTACAATATTAAATGCAGTAACATTTTTGAGACACACAGCACGAAATGACTTCTTGAAAAAAAAAGAGGCACAGAGAAAGACTGGCAAAAAGAATTTACTCAGAAGCAAATCAGCAGTTTTAATTAAGCCGTTTAAAGCGAACTAATTAAATCATTATCAAATTGACATTCCATTTTTCTTTTTTCGCGCGAAAGTACCATCAACTGGCTATGCATGCATATATATTCTTCTTACCATGTCTGTCTTTTTTTTTTGTTTCATCCACGGCTGCTGCTACCGTTTCAGACTTATATATATATGCACAAAGAACTGAAAAGAATTACATGATAATGAGAAAATTACATAATAATCAGTTCTAATAAATATTTATTGCTCTCGGCATGCTTACCTCACTTGTCATCAATTTGAATTTCATTTCTTTGCGATATCATAATAACATGAGAATTTGTTTTAAAAAAAATGAAAGAAATAATATTTTTAAGAGGATTTGTAAGTCCGATCGTGATAATTTCAATAATTTATACTTAAATTAGCAATATAAAAAATTAACCAAAATAAAGACATTCTTAACTTCTTTTCGGGGAAATAAGGATTTTTTGAGATTTTGAGGGACTTGCTGGGGGTCGTTCAATAATGATGTGAGTCTCTAGAGTTCTTGATATCTTTTTCACTTGGTTTTCATTCAAAATGGTTTTATTTGAAGTGTCCTAAAGCTTTAAAACCTGTTAATTCTGTAAGTCAACAATGAAGGCCAGTAAATCATGAAGATGAATAGCTGGTGTAGTGCTGCTCAAGTTTTTGGTCTCCTTCTTGCTTAATACCTGCCATTGGAGCATTATCAACGTCAAGAAGCTTTGGCGGTTATAGGGATTAATTGAGAACCTTAAAGATGCTTAAATTTAGTGACACAACAACACCACGTTGACATATCCACACTTTGAACCTTATTGCGGTTTGGGTTTTTAACTCAAGCTAATAAGAACGATTCCTTCAATATTCCATTAAAGACTTAAATGAAAAGTAAACCTTGTGATTAACTGGTTAAGTCTCATTTATATTTCCTCAGGTTTTGATCCAAATAGTCATATTAGACCCAAATTCAAACCCTTCTAATAAATAGCACATTGATCTTTCTTAGTAAAACACATCATTCATTAACAACCCCTTCGGCTAATCCATCCAAAATAATTAAATCATTAAAAATGATTTTGCAGCATTTTTAATTAAAATTGCTTTTTCTTATCTTAATCTTTCACCATTCTTCTTCTTATCATTTCTTTATGTCCAAAAATATAACAGGTGAGCATACAATCCGTAACTACCCAGCAACTGTTCATGGCGCTTTGTTGAGTGGATTACGTGAAGCAGGACGCATTGCTGATTATTTTATTGGAAAGATTCCTCAAGAACCTGAGAAAGTTGAAACACCGAGTCAACAATCTACTGCTGAAGCTGACGATGATGTCATTTTCTTGGATGATCAGCCACAAAATTAAGCATCTCATCTTTAATTCTACAATCAGATAAGATTTTTTAAGCATTTCATTTTTTTTAAAGACTAAGAACAATTTTTAATATCGTAAGAAAAATACTCATGAGGAATAAATTTTTAAAATTTTAAGATTTAGTGAATGATTGTAAGGCAGGTTGTATTTCTTTTTGACTTGTATTATAAACAAAAATGATAAATAAAGCATAAGACTTTCTTTGGATGTAGATGTCAAAATTTGTGTTTTGAGTTATTAGTCAATTGGATTTTTTTGGATGGAAGTCGATAAGTTACAGAAGCATAATATGTTGATTTTATTTCAGGATTTCAACCAAATTGAGTGTGATTTAGTCAAATGTTTCATGAAAAAGTTAATTAAAATAGATTAATTCTGGAACAAAACACAAATTCTAATCGAGGACCTTTTGTACGAGAGTCCGGCTACAGGCCAGTGTGATTTTAAAAAATGAAGTTTTCAAATTCACTGATATTTTGAAAATAAGTCCTAAAAATTCAAGCAGATGATCAGCATGTGTAGCCATGCACTACCTTGAACATTATAGACTATGCTAGTGCACCTCATAAGTTGTTGCAGAATTTATAATAAACTTTTAAAATCTCAATTTATCTCAAATTCAAGTTAAAAGTTAAGAAAAAGCTCATAAAAAATTTTGTGCAACTTGTTGCTCGGTTGCATAAACTTCAGGCGTTTTGAAATTTTTTTTTTAAAATAAAATTTTAATATGTTTATCTTATTTGAACCACATTTTCTCGTAAATGTTAAAATATTATTAAAAAGTAATTAATCATGAATTATGTCACTATTTTGTCAAGCGTTTTAAGATAAAGAATTTGTTTTTTAGTTTCCACAATGAACAGTATGAACAAAATTCAGATGGGGTAATCGAAATTTTAGATTTCGATTTTTTTTAAGCAATGCATTACAAAAAGTAATATTGGCATGTGATTTATGTCAGAATTATGTCAATTCAAATAAAACATCCAAAAAATTTTTTTAATAAAAGTACACCATAGAAAATCAATTTTCAATTTTGGACTAGGGGTGACCCTAGTCAAAATCAATTTTGTCACTTTTTTCTTCGAGGGTTTAATCAAATGGATTGAAACTTTGCATAAATATTCTAGTGCTTAAAACAAATACAAATTTAACACCTTAAAATTTTTTTTCAACAAAGAACCAAGGAGGAAATACATTTTCAATTTTGGACTAGGGGTGACCCTAGTCAAAATCAATTTTGTCACTTTTTTCTTCGAGGGTTTATCCAAATGGATTGAAACTTTGCATAAATATTCTAATGCTTAAAACAAATACAAATAAAACATTCTAAAATTTTTTTGAGCAAAGAACCAAGTAGGAAATACATTTTCAATTTTGGACTAGGGGCGACCCTAGTCAAAATCAATTTTGTCACTTTTTTCTTCGAGGGTTTATCCAAATGGATTGAAACTTTGCATAAATGTTCTAGTGCTTAAAACAAATACAAATAAAACATTCTAAAATTTTTTTGAGCAAAGAACCAAGAAGGAAATACATTTTCAATTTTGAACTAGGGGCGACCATAGTCAAAATCAATTTTGTCACTTTTTTCTTCGAGGGTTTATCCAAATGGATTGAAACTTTGCATAAATATTTTTGTGCTTAAAAAAAATACAAATAAAACATCCTAAAATTTCTTTGAGCTAAGAACCAAGTAGGAAATACATTTTCAATTTTGGACTAGGGGCGACCCTAGTCAAAATCAATTTTGTCACTTTTTTCTTTGAGGGTTTATCCAAATGGATTGAAACTTTGCATAAATATTCTAGTGCTTAGAACAAATACAAATAAAACATTCAAAAATTTTTTTGAGCAAAGAACCAAGAAGGAAATACATTTTCAATTATGAACTTGGGACAGGTCCAGTCAAAATCTAGTTTTTCACTTTTTTTTTTTCGAGGATAAATCCAAATAAGTACAGTAAAACTTTGTATGAGCATTCTAATCTTCAGGTCACACATTTCTAAATTAATAAAAATCATTTTTTTGGACAAAATTTTAAGTCACGTTGTTTTTGAATGTACAACCAAATTTATAGTATTTGGGTCTGACGACATATAGAATACATTTCTTGCTTTAGATATTTAAAACTGTTTTGTATAAATATAAGTATACTCACACAAAGTTTCACTGTAATTGGATAAACCTTCGAAAAAAAAAAGTGAAAAACTAGATTTTGACTAGGGTCGCCCCTAGTTCAAAATTGAAAATGTATTTCTTACTTGGTTCTTTGCTCAAAAAAAAAATTTAGAATGTTTTATTTGTATTTGTTTTAAGCACTAGAACATTTATGCAAAGTTTCAATCCATTTGGATAAACACTCGAAGAAAAAAGTGACAAAATTGATTTTGACTAGGGTCGCCCCTAGTCCAAAATTGAAAATGTATTTCCTACTTGGTTCTTTGCTCAAAAAAATTTTTTTCATCCAAAGTTTAATTTAAAAAAAAATCTCAGTGAACTTTTAATTTGAAAAATTCGTAAGAAAGGAAAGTTTTTTGCTTTTTCTGAAGCAACGGCTGTTCCTCCCTCGCCTAAAAACAATACAGCTCTTCTATAGAGCAGAACGGATCAAATGTTAAAAACTAGAAGTCTCTACAATGTCTCGTTATTGAGATTTCTTGCTGATTAACTTGCTTGTTTGCTTGCTTGTTTGCTTACAGAAAGCGTATTTTTCGATTTTCTCAGCAATGCCCCAACCAATTTGAAATCTGTTTTTTGCAAAAGATGTGAAATACAAGGCACAAACTTTTCATCTCTGAACATTTTATTCTTTTTTGCTCCATATCCTCACAAAATTCAAAAAACTGATTTTTCAATCTGAACAAAACCAATAGATTCACACGTGAAAACGGTGTGAATATAATAAGCTATTAATACAACTCTTCATGAACTCCCCCAATGTGCAGCACTGGATCATTTCATAATTTATTTATCTTTTGTCTTCTCATTATCCTTCAAATGAAGCAAATTTAACAGATAAAAGAATTAATTTCAATTGTATATTCGTCCTTATAAATGATATATCCTCAATAAAAGAGATTCACTTTTGAAATTTTCCGCAACTTCCATGCTCAAAGCACTTTTTTTCATTCTCATGAAAAATTCATAAAGGAAAAAAAAATGACAATAGACTGTTTTCAGCATGCTGCATGCATGTATTGCACTGAATATTCATATGAATAATGAAAAAGAAATGCAATTTAAATAATGGAAAAGAGAGTAAAATGAGGAAGTTTTTTCAGCATTCAACGCATGCTGCATCGCTTCCTTTTTTCTATTAAATGAGTTTTTTTTTGTTCTTTTATTAAAAACTTTTTTTATTTGATTTCATTTTCTTTATGTGGAAAAAAAATTTTAAATTGTTTTATTCATTAAAAAAATTTTTTTGTTCATTTTGCAAAGTTTCAAATGCTTTTGAAAGAAGCTATGCGGTAAATGATGCTGTTGTCACATTTTGATGCAATTTGAATGAAATTAAAAATAAAAAAAATACGAGTCTTACGTAGAAAGTCAATAGCTTTTATTTAATAATTATTGCAAAGGTTGCAGTAATATTCTATTTAGATTCTAAGCTTCAAATGGTTAAGTTTTGGAGATAAAAAGCTTAAATTTTGTAGCTAGTGAAACATTAAGAATTATTAAGATAACTATCAGGATTAAGCTTTATTAACCAGCATTAACAAGTATCCCAAAATGAATAAATTATTTCTGTTTTTTTTTTCAATTCAGCAAAAAATCGCAACAAATCCTGGTGCAAATATTTTTAAATCCCACATCCAAAATAAACATGCATCATGCTTTGTTTTATTATCAATTTTTTTCAATAAATATAATTGATGCAAAATTTATTGAACAAAAAAAAAATATAATAAAAATATTAATCCAGACATAAGCCTATTATTGCAAACACCAAAATAAATAAATAGGATTTGTTGAGAATATTAGTGCATTTTTGTTTGGGTGGAATATTTGGATGGTTTGACTATTTTGTTTTGGGGGGATATAAAGGATGAATTTGAAGGATTTAAAGTATGTTGCATAAAGAATAAAGAGGTCAGTTTCTAAAGCTACTCTGGCTACTTTACACTCATAGTCAAGATTCCGGACAGTATGTCATCAATAAATGCAATAAAGTGCAATTAAAAAATGAAAAAAAAAATTTCTTACACTCCATTACGTTGGATATTCAGGACTAGTTTTAGGGTTCGTCGGTTATCCCAAAACATTAACCTTTCTTGAAGGAAGTGGAAGAAGGACTAGAAATGTCAAAACTAATCTTAAAAACCGTCAAATGTAAATCAGACTGCTCCTAAAATAAGTTTTAAGCCAAAACTCAACAAAAGTCCTCGAATTAAAATGCTTGGATAAGCATCTTTATGAATTCCCCATCCTCTTCCAACTACTCAAATATTTTCATTCCAATCACAAAAGTCCACCTCAACTTAAAAGTGGATTCAACGTGCAACAAAAGAGATTTATTGTCAAACTTTATGCGTGGTGCTTATCATAAGACAATAACCGAAAAGAGAACCAAAGCAAAATTATTGTCACGACACTATTTTTGATAAATCGAATTATCCGCCTTTCGTGTGGCGATGACGTGATTGAGGTCAGAATTTGTCGAGTGAGAAGAGAGCAAAATTGATGATGTGCAATTGATTGAATATAAAAAAGCGATTCCTTTATTGTTTATTGTTGGTAATAATAATCATAAACGAAATTATGTTTTGAGTCAGGCTCCAAAAAAGGCATGTCAGATGTCCATCAGTTGCAGAAGAAGCGATGATTTAATGCCATTTAGTGCCTTTGGTGATGTGAACTTTGATTTTCTAATAAAAGAAAAGCTTAAAAGTTTTGGATGGAAGTTTAGTTTTTGGATTGAATATAGAATTTGGATTGAACATTTTGTCCATTTGGAATGGTTTGGAGTTTTTGAAGCAAATTGAGCTTCTGAAATCAAACTTTATTAATTTTTTAATTTTGATTGCGCTTTTTAAAGGCAAATTCAACTTTTTGGAAGTAAATTGAGCTTTTTGGAGTCAAGTTGAGCCTTTTTATGGCAAATTCAGCTTTTTGAAAGCAAATTCAGCTTTTTAAAGGCGAATTCAGCTTTTTGAAAGCAAATTAAGCTTTTAAGAAGCAAATTGAGCTTTTTGAAGACAAATTCAGCCGTTCGGAAGTAAACTTGAGCTTTTTGGAGGCAAATTCAGATTCTTGAAGGCAAATTGAACTTTTTGGAATTAAATTGAATCAGATTTATTGAATAAATCAATGTGCGCCCAAAAGTCTTCAGTGCAGCATTCAAACTTACTCAATTCTCATTTTCTCTCTCACCATTCATCCTGTTCGTTCAATTTTTTTCGCCTTCTATTTGAGCGATTAAATGTCATAAGCATACACATCAATATTTATTTATTGAAAGCATTATTTTCATCGTCACACTATATCGAGCACTGAAATTACCGCAACTGATGTTCTAAGTGAAATGAATGGGAAATAAGAGTGAACAGCAACCGAGAAATAAAAAAAAAGAGGCAAATGCAGGAAAAATGGTAAAGGAATAAAATTAATTTATTTCAAAGTTTTTTTTTTCTGTGGCACCCATAATTCACTTGTTTTATGTGCTTTTATGTTATGAGTCAAATGCAGATAAAGAGTGTTTAGAGACGAGTGAAATTTGTGGCTAAACAAAAAGAGGAGGACGGAAGGGAAACTTTTTTTAAGGTTAGGAAAAATTGGAAATTGCGATGAGCTATAAATTTGTGGTCAGATGCTCGTTTTGCAGATATAAAATTTGTTGAAATTTAAAGAATTTTGCGTATAATTTTCCGACATAATTTAAACAACTTGTTGTTTATAATGTTCACATTAGCTTTTTCTGATGCCATAAACGCAAAACTCTGAGATGAGAGGAAGTTTACTAACGCTTATTATGGTTTAATTACAGTTTTTGATGATTAGAAGAAAAACATCCTGTGACTTACTTATGAGTGTTATATCATGGTGTTATTGAGATTGAAGATTTTAAGAAGAAGGTGCATTGCCAGTAGAGGATTCTTGGACCTAATGATAGCAAACGAGTATCATCCAGACTCAGTTGATCGACATTTAAAGCTCATCGATTGTCATTCTCTAGCTATATTCTTGCTATATGCTAATTAATGAGATATTGTAGCAAATTTAAGTGGTGATTAGAACTTCCAAAAATAGGGGTCAGGAATCTTAAAAAAAACCTAGACATTACCCCGAATCTTCATACAAAATGTACGCATTTGGAGATAAGAATATTTTGCAAAAAAAAGTACGTGAAGGTGATAAAGCTAAAATTTGCTAAATCAACACGCTAAATAAATGTTTGATATTCTGTTGATGGTTTTGAGTTGCTTCATACATTTTAAGATATGAATATAATGCAGCGGTGTAACAAAACTTTGTGTGTGTGTAGGAACAAATATTTAATAACCCTAGCAGTTTAAAATAATTTGTGATTATCCTTAATATGATTAAGAAGGTGCTGACATGCCATTCAGGCTATGATTTTGCCACCGAGAAGCACAAACAAACTAAAAATCATTCAAATTCAAAAAAATTTATTACAAACATTTATTTTTCATTATTTAAATTCACTGTGAATAACAAAAAAATGCTATTGTTAATTTTATAACCTATTTGTAGTAGCTGAAATGAGTAATCTAAATATTTGTACATCAAACTGTGCTGTGATTTTTGTGCAAACTGAATTGTTTGTGGATTTTATCAGTCAAACATGTGGGTGTGTGAATTTATAATTGTAAATATCAGGTTTTAAAAAATTTAATCGTGCGACAGCATTTTTTGGAACTATTAAGCTTTAGCATGCATACATGTTCTTAATTCTAGCAACATCACCACTTGATAAGTATGAGCGTTGTCCCATGACTCTTTGATCAGCTGAGCTGTAAGCTTGAATAGTCATTTGGCCATTTCTAGAGAATGAATATGGTCCGTAATGCATGACAGATGAGACGTCATAGCTTGTTCCATAATTATTCCATGAAGCTGGATCAAGAGTTTGAAACCAGACTTCTAATCCACTTTGAATATTTCCATAATTAATTCTAACTTTTGAGTCGCGTTGATAATGTTGATGCATATGTCCATAACCTAAGGCATGGATAATCTCATGCATTGCTATTCCATGAACCATACAACCACTTCTCTTCAATGAAAGATCTTGTTTGCCTCCAATTCTTCCAATATATGACCAACATCCATCACCACTGAAGAAACGGATGTAGTCATTTTGAGATGATCGTGGAACGAATGATACGCAAGTTTTTGATGATATTTCGTTCATTGCGTTATAGATTAGGTTCTTTTCGGATGATGCTGTGGATTGAAATAAATTTGGATGTTAATTTTAGGAGAAAGGATGATAGTGCCACAGGGAAGGTTTCCTCAAACTATTGTAAAAAGTCTTGGTTATGTGTTAAGCCAGCAACAATTCCCAATAATACTCACAATAAACCGAATCAATCACATAAGGAACAGTGACTCTTCCATTAATCTTTGGCCATCGAACATTTGTATTAATCGTTCCAGTTCTACCAACTCTGCCTACATGAGTTGTTTCAACTTCTTGTTCTGGTGTTAAGACTATATCACCCTGGAACTTATCACCATATTCTTGCTCAACTTCAATTGGGTTTGCATTTAATGCCACTAATGAACAAAACAACGTGACTTGAAAAAGTAAAAATTTCATTTTAATTATTTTAATTTCAATCCTTTTGAATAAAGCTAAGACTTGATACTGAAAAGATCTCTCAAAATGACATGACTTAAATACTATCTTGATAAGACAATTAATTTAGTAAATTTTCTCAATTCGCATAAAATGTGTTTATCAAAATATTTTTACATGTCTTAGGTGAGTGTTTAGATATGATAAGAAGAGATATTTAGCGAGTAGCATGTGATTTTAGAGATTAGAATAGATACATAGTTTTAGAGGTATAGGAAGTTAGTAGTGTAATAGTTTCTCAACAGATGAGAAGATTTTTTTGGATTTTAACACTCAATTTGTAGAATGACAAGCCAAATTTAATGCACCTGTTATTGTCAATGAGTCTTAAGAGGACGTGTGTGGCACACAATCAGAATTGTTTTTATTTGACATACATTAAGCTCAAATAAGACTGCGCTTTTAATCTAGAAAGATATTTTCCTCGAAAAGTGTCTGAAATTCGTAAGAATATTGTTATCAGTGAAAAATAAGAATGGACGAGCTACAATGAAATTTAGTGATCTTTATAATGACATATTGTTGACGTAGATATAGCCACTATCATTGTGTGTTTGCGGTATCCTAATGTATTTTGTCAAAATGCTGATTTGGAGATTTATTGAAGACTTTGTTTTGTAGCTTAAGATCTATTGAATTTTCAACAATTTAAGAATATCTTGTGGATTTAATATTGACCATCCCCTCCGCCTCCCCTCAGTAGGTCCAGCTTCATTTCATTCAAGTTCAATCTACACTTTTCATATTAAAATAATAATCTCACTTAAAATCGATTACATGATTCTCATCACAAGCATCCTCAAACGAAATACTAAATCAATAAGCTCAAAACAATAAACCAACAAGCCTCCATCCAAACAATTCAGAAAAGATTCATTATAATGGATGCAAATAAACGTAAATCTTAATTCTTTCTAATCAAACGCCAATTTACAATTAATTCTTATTTTTGCTTTACGCTCTCAATCTCCCCATTAAAATCATCATCACTTCCCTTGCTCTGCATTATCCATTCCATTCCATTTATCCCCTCTAGATTCGTTTTACCATCTCGTAATAAAAAAGGAACATCATTGAACGGAAATTTTGTTCAAATTAAATGGCAGGTAGTTTAATTTGCAAATATTTACATTTTTTTTCCTTCTCTTATTCTTTAATGTTCATTCTTTGCCACCTTACATGCTTATAGAGATTCACGCACACCAGTTGCGGAGTTGGAGATTTAGAAATAGAAATGAGGGGTTCTTGAATTGTTTTGATATTTATCCTAAGTTTCTTCATTCTCTTCTTAACAGCTAAAAATCTAGTTACACAAAATATTAATCAAAACACATCAACGTTCCTTTTTAGATTAGGATTCAAATATATTTATTAAAAATTCTTACAGTAACTTCCTAGCTACACCCCTGACGACACCTGCACACAGACTAGATACAAAAACAGACTGAGAGAATAAAAAAAAGTAGATTCAAATTATGAAAATGAAGGAAGCAAATTTGGCTCGTCTAATTTTTGTTGTTTTTACGGTGAATAAAAAAAATTTGCACCTTCTTAATTCTTTGCTGTTCATCCATTCCATGTGGATCTTGTTTGAGCAAGAGAAAATGTAATTATCATGCATTAACTTAGCCTAATGTTTGCTGCCTCGTCGCGTCTGCACTTTTAACCTATCTTTTTTCTGAGGAGGATGTAGGTGAGCGGATGTGCTAGGTGTGATGTTGAAACATTATGAAAACCAAATATGTAATAAAAATCTCATTAAGGTGTTAGGGTAAGAAAGAATGCAGACAGTGAATGAACGAAAGGGAAGCAGAGAGGAAACCAATAAGCATTTAGCAAAACCTTCACAAATTTACTGTTGCTTTAGTGATTTTTCTGCTTTTCATGATGCTCTCTGCTCTCTTTACAACTTTTGGATATGGGAAATCAAGAGACTAGAATAGCCGGAGGATAATTTATATTGTAATGATGAAGGTATGGAGATTTTTTTTTATTGTTCCGCATTGGAATTTATTTGTTGCTGTGTGTTTTAAATTGTGGTTTTAAGTGGTGGAGATGGAGGGATTTGTTGTTGACTTAGAGATTTGGTTTCTTGAGGGGTTCATGTTCATGATTTTATTTGAGCATATCTTAGTGCTAATTATGGTTTTTTGGATTAAACTTGACTTGATTGGACTATATGGTGAGCTTATAGTAAGTCTGGACATGCTAGGATGGTCTTCTTTGGCTTTTTCTGTGGCATATATGTCTACAACGGTAAATTACATTTCAATATAGTTCAAAACCACTGAAATAAAATACTGTACCTCCTCCCCTCTTCCTAATAGCATCAAAAAATCACTCAACTCCATTCAAAAATTTATATCTCGTAAAGCATGTCCATCCCCTGACTAAACACACACAATTTTTCCTCTCTAGATATCAAAAAAGTTGTGCGTATGTCTAAGTCATCATCACTTGATTTTTCCACTACGATGCCATTATTTTCTTCGTTCCTATTTTGTCTAAAAAATAATAAGAAAACTTCAATTGCTGCCATATGATAAGATAGATGATGATGATGAAAAAAACTTCCATTTCGATGAACAAATGTTACGCTATGCGTTGATTTTCTTTCCATCAAAACATTTCCGTCATTTTTTCTCTCGTTTATTATTATTTATTTTTACTTTTTCTACCACTTCAACCTTTTTATTTCCTTTATGGTGATGATGATAATGATGATGTGGATGGGGAGTGTGAGAGATTGTGTAACTAGGTAGCACATTAAGCACATATGAAGACTGTTCAGTTATTTTTTTTTTTTGAGTGATTTTCATCCTGCGTGTAAAGAGATTTTCGCATGATAAAATTTGATTCATTCGCATTATCAAATACCTTAACATCACGTTACATGCTTCTGACTTCACATACATCTCCTCTTACTTTCATATCGCGTTATCACATCACTCGCTATTAAAATATGTAATAAAATGTGAATAAATGGAGCTTTGTGAACCCAACGGGAGAGGTGTGAAAACAAGATTTGCTCATTATCGCCTTATTTCCACATCACCCTTTATTTGATGGTACTTTTTTAAGGGATATAAAAAAAAAGACAAAAGTGTGAAAATTTAATTTTTAAAAAAAACTTCTTTGTCTCCCTCACTGAAATTTTAAGAGAGTTCCTGAAATCTGATTAATTTTAATGGATTGGATGGCAAAGTAGGTAAATTGAATTTAGTTCCTTAAAGTTTTTATTCTGTGCTGTAATTTTGCTTTTTAGTTTTCTAGAGAAACAATGCATGCGATAATTTAATTTTGAAGGGATCAAATGAGAAGTTTTCAACGGGATTTTTGTTGAAGCTGGAAAGCTTTTTAAAACTTGATTACATTTAGGGATGCTATGAGCTTATTTTGTGAAGCTATTTGTTAATAGACATTAGTTGTTAAGGTGGTTTTGGACTACGATCTGAGCGGCACAGTTGAAAAATGTTCCGTCAAAGTCGTGCTTGCAGAAGATTCCATAGATCAAATGTTATCAACTATGATTATTTATCAAGACCTTACCTATGAATCTACCTTTTGTTTGGGATTTTGGGTCTTTTCATGAGGCGCCAAGGCTAAATTCACTCTAGCTAGACGACTGAACCTTAAAAACTTAAAAATGTCTTATTCGTCTCTTTTAGCAAGAGCAAGATATAAATTCACTCACATAGGAGCTATTCACTTATGACGTACAGGGGGGGGGGGGGATGAGCAAGATAAGAACAATAGAAATTCCTGGAAATCCATTGTTCTCTTTTGAAAAATGACCGTTATTTTCAGATGTCATACGTGAACGATCCCATACTAGAATTTTATAGATATTTTAATATTTATCATTTTTAAGGATGGTTTCATGTCATTTAATTTAAATACAGTCAATTAAAATTATCGCAAACAAATCCAATAATTCTAAATGTCTCATCATGGTCATTGAAACATGAAACTGTATAAAATAAGTCCCAGTCATTATTTTAATCACTGCATGAGAGAGTCTTTAACTTTAATCTCTACATTTATTCTTTAATGTATATTATTATTACACTGCATTGAATTCTTTCTAATATTACCGAATGAGACTATTCCCAGAACTTGGAGTTGGTTACATACACGAAAAAATAATAGCAACAATAATAATAACAATAACCATCCAGAAAAAATTGTCTCGTAGAAGGTACAAAAAAATCTAAAAAAATAATTCTGGCCAAAAAATTACAATTTTTTCTCATTAATTCGATGAAAGCCATAACAAGTGCAGACAATGAAGGAGCAATAAGGAAGAGAATGAAATAACGCTCAGAAAATTGCTTCCGATTGAGTCACATAAGGAATAAAATTCATTTCTGCTTCAATTCTCATTTTCTTCTTATTTCTTGTAAGGAACTGAAATGCGATAAAAACGAGACACATTTTCCACAGAAATAACATATTTCATGCTAGCTATAGTGCAAATATAATTGAATGCTCGATGTTCTATGTGAGGTTTTTTATTTATAAGCGTGTGTTTATGGATGTCTGTGAGACTCAAATGCAACAAGAAGAGAAATGCGACAAAGACAAGGTTTTTCATCGCATATTTCTTTAGTCTAAGATGGGGATGAGAACATGTGTGGTTTATGGGTGCACTTTGTCTTGTTGCTTGGGTGAATACAGACAGTTTTGCACTTAAACTTTTATCTACGACTTCTCAAACTCCTTTTAAGGGATGTCTTTATCTTTTTGAACTGAAAATTTTGGTTTTTGATGTTCGTTAGTCTGCAATTAGAGTTGAAAGCTTCCTGCACCTCATACTTACTTAAATGGGATTTAAATATTTTCAAAAATATTTCAGAAATTAAGACTCATTTAAATTATTTCATTTTAGTTTAAAAGATTTTATGTTTTATAAAATTAAAAAGATGCTACTTATTAAAAGATAGAAGCCCTCTCCTAGTTCCATACAACTTTCATATGAGCTAGAAAGGTAGTGCATC